TGCCAGTGTGTACGCGGGGGAGCGGATGTGGCTGCGGCGCTCTCGAATGGGGCACGGCCCTCTCGAATGTGGCACGGCCGTGCGGGCCGCGTGGATTTATATAGGCAGGGGAATCCTGCTGGTCCAGGACTCGTCTAGGACGCGCAGGGAATGTCTGCGCCGCCCGCGTGCCCTCAGGACCTCTCGCTCGATGCGCACAGTCTAGTCTACCCAGGCACTCAGGCCTCTATAGCAGGCCACCCTTTCTCTGACCCCAAAGCCGGAACTTCTCACTGCCGCAGCCGCCCCCCCCCCAAGTCCTCCACCTCGGCTGCTTACGCCGGCAAGGCGACCCAAAGTCCCACGGCTCCCGCGCGCCGGGCACCCGGCGCCCCGCCCAGAGTCCTCACTACCGCGTTCCCTGCCCGTCCGGCTCCAGCGGTGGAGGCCGGGGAGGAGGCCCCTGCCCGCCCACCCCGCGTGCGGCCCGCGGCACTCACAGGTAGCTGCCGCTGGACAGGATGAGAAAGATCTGCGGGCAATAGACGGAGAGGAGCGCGCTGCGCGGCGACAGCAGGAGCATGGTGGGCCGGCGCTCCTGGCGGGGCTGGGCAAGCCCCGCGGGCAGGGCCCCTGGGTCAGCTGAAGCCGGGGTCTCCGCGGCCCTCCCCGAGATAGGACGGCGGCACGGGGCGCTAGGGACCCGGGAGTTCGGGCCCCGGCGCTGTGGTGGCCCGGACCCCGCCGCCAGGGCCGCGCATCGCGCTGGGGCTGGGCTTTGCGAGCGCTGGGGCTAGAGTGCCAGACGGGGGAGCGGGCAGTGGGCAGTGGGTGCGCCTTGGCCGCCGTCTGGCCCTCCGTCCGTCGATCGGTCGGAACCGGCTCTGTCGCTCGCTCTGGCTCACGTCTCCAAGTCTCCCCAGGCGCGCAGCTGCCATTGGACAGGCCACCCCTACATCCGCCTCCTCCGCGGGCGGGTTTTTTTAAAGGGGAGGCTGACCCAAGCGTGCGGTGGGAGCCGCCCCCAGGGCTTGCCCAAACTGCTTTGGCTCGGAACCACCCCCCACCACCATCACCACAAGTTTAGCGAACCACACAGTTCTGGCCTGCTCTGGAGTGTGCACCTTGGGGGGAGGCACCGCGGGGTGACCGCGCGGGGGCGTGCGCTCCTCTTGGGGGTTGTGCTCTCAACAATGTGTGCTCGTGTGTGCATGCATGTGCCTGTGTGTGCCTGCAGGGGCGTGGGCGTGTCTGTGAGGGCGCAGGTGTGTGTGCACAAATGCACCGCGTGTGCCGCGCCTCTGCCTGCGTGCGCCCCTGGGTTTGGTGAGGCTGGCTGTGGGTCTCCGGCACTCACTGCCATGGCCAGGTTCAGCCTGGCAGGGCTCACCTGTGCACGTGCGCACTGGTGTCTCTGCAGCATCCTGCCTCTGAGTCTCTTTGGAGGGTCTGCCAGTGGGAACGCACCCCCAACATGTGCATAGAGGCCCCCAACTCTGGCTTCCCCAGCTCACTTCTTTTTCTCTCCTTTAAGGAGTTGCTTGGGAGGTGTGCAGAGGAGCACATCCACCAGGACACACTTGAATGAGCAATCTTCCTTCTTCCAGTGGTTTCTTTTTAAGCCCCAAACAAGGTTTTCAGTCCCACCTCCTATTGTCTGCCAAACCGAGCTACATATGAATGTCCCTCTAGATGCAGTGTAGACCCTAGTGTAAGCTGGAGTGAAGGCACAAAGCAGAGAAGATGACAAGGAAAGAGAGGTCGGTGCAACATGGCCAGCGGTCACAGGGGGAGTTCCAGGCTTCTGGACCTGCCGCGGAGACTCATCCCCAGCCCCCTCTCCACCTTCATCTCTGGGTCTGAGGCTCTCAGGCCCCTCTAGACCCCCCCTGCCTCTCCTGGCCCCAAGAGCAAGGGGCAGGCATGAAGCAGCGCTGGTCCTGGGACTTCACGACCCCAGTTCCAGCGGGCAGTGTCCTCCCAGCCCTGGCTTGGCCTCCTCCAAGGCTGCAGCTCGGAGCCTGTGCAGTCCCGAAGTGAAGAACCGTGACTCCCTAAAGCCACTGGAATTGCCCCAAATCCTAGGCACATCTGCTCTTAAGGCCCCGACCCCCAAAAGGATCTCCAGAGCTGAGTTCTCCACTCCTGCTGGTGTGGGAGCTCCCCCGGGGGCTGCGCATCTGCACTTGCACCGGGGCTGAGGGGCACAGGTGTGCGTGGCGGCTGTATGTGCACAGGTGGGAGGGGAGCGGCTCCCTGTGTACGTTCATCAACCCGCGCCCACGGGTGTGGGCTAGGGGGCTGTAGTCACAGAATAGCCCCCAATACATTCAATCTCTGATATGGGGTTGGAACTTTTATGGCCCTAAAACCCCAGCCCCTGGGATTCCAAGGCCCTGGAACACACCATTGGGGGGAGTCCCCAGGGCGTCTGCGGCCTGAGACATCGTGCTCCTTAACAATAAGAAAGGCTTGACTGGTACACGCAGCTGTTTATCGGGACACCCCCACCCCAGGGCAAAGGCCCCCAGGACTAACCTTCATAGCACCCAGTGAAGCATGTGCTACTGTCATCTCATTTTTCGGATGAGGGAAGGTGGGCCAGGAGGTTAAAGAGCTCCCCAAGGCCACCCAGTGAGGAGTGAGGGGGAAGACTGACCCCCAGATCTCATCCTTAATGCACTGGGCTCCCAGGTCACTTAACCCTTGAGGTCACATCTGGGCGCAGCTGCCCCCTCCTCCCCACCATGCGCAGCCCAGATGGCTTGCAGAGAAAGCAGGCCCCGTGTCTCCAACATGGGGCAGCAGGGGCTGTGGTGGTGGCGGGGCTGACCTCCTCCCTTCCCTGCCCTCCCCTTAGCAGACCGCGGGGGGCTCTCCGGTTTTCCTAGATGTGGTTCCACAGGGGGGTCTGGAGACCGCGTCTTCTCCTCACCCCCCAGGAGTGGGCAAGTTTGTGTTTTAGAGGGCACAGCAGCAGAAGGAGTTCCCCCCCACCCAGGGCTCCTGGGTGGGGGCAGAGGGCAGAGCCAGGGCCACTGCCTGGCTCTCTTACCCACTCCCAGAGAGGTTGGCACAGGTGCCCGGGTGCACAGGATGGGTCTCACTCACTGGGCGCTCCACTCAGACGCTGGCCCCCATCCTGCTCAGGATGGCCAGAGCCACAGTCCCATTTACAGAGAGAAACGGGAGGCTCAAGAAGGAGCGGGGAGAGGGCATCTGCCCATGCTCATGTAGACCTGGAAGCAGCCCTGAGAGCCCAGGTGGGGCTGCATCATCAGCTCCTGCTGCTGCCTGGGGGTGGGGAGCAGGGAGCTGGGAGGTGGTCCACGGAACTCATCCCACAGGCGGTGGGGGGGGGGCTGCTTTCAGAAAACTCCTGTTGAGGAACTGGTACTAGGAAGACTGGTCCATGGTAGAGGCCAGAGCCAACTCCCTTGCTCGGTTTCCTAATCCTTAAAATGAGAAGAGTAAAAGCTTTTAACTCCAGGCTTGCCAGGAGGAGACAAGGCCTCGGTGCTGAGAACCAGGCAGCAGAGAGCGAGCCTCATTGGGGGTCGTCCATTACTTTAGAGGGCACAGGGTGGGTAAGCGCAGGGGCTGCTGGAGAGTCCGGAAGACAGCGCCTCCCTCCCCAGCCCCCACACCTCCCAGATTCAATGCACGCACGCTCACCTCCCATAAACAAACACCCAGGGACACAGCCTACGCACAGACCCACGATAAACAAAGCCACCAGCAGCCGCAGACACGCCCGCCCAGGCCTGCAGAGCCGCGGCTAGGACAGGGGGCTTCCAGCCGTGCCTCTGCAGCCACCAGCCTCAGTCCAGGCCGGCTCTGGGCCTCAGTTTCTCCATCTGTAAAATGGCGGAGGAGGCGATGGACGGAAGGGCGATGGGCGAAATGATTCTCAGGTCCTGGGAAGCCGCGTCTCTGCCGGCGGCACCCGAACTGGGCCCTCCCGCGGGCTGTTCACCGGCTTTGCCCGCGGCCGGGACCGAGCCTGCCTCCCAGCCGCTGGCGGCGCACAGTAGGCGCGCAGGGCGCAGTGGGGCGTGGGGCGGTGGGCGCCCCCGGCGAGGTGCACCGCACCCCCTTACGGTCACACACCCCCCCACCCCCACTTCGAGCGAGGCCGAGACAGATTCTGTCCAAAGGAGATCGCAGCTCAACAGGTAAGAACTCGGCTGGGTTCAGGAATGTGGAAATACGACTCGGAGCAGCTACTGCAGCGAGCAGCAAGCGCGGCCCGCCGGGCGCCCGCCCGCCCGGCCGCGAGAGGGGGAGCGCAGCGAGAGGGGGCCGGGCTGAGGG